AGTGATGTTATTTGTGAAGTTTTTTTGTCTTGGAAACTATTGCTTCTATTTGAAGTCGGCATGAACCGGAAGTTACAAACGACTTTTCTCCAGTGTTGTGACGTATTTAAAAGTGAAAAAGTATATTGAACGGAGGGCAGGGTTTTACTCTAGCGCTCCTCTTCTCCATCTCTGCTCATAGCACGGTTTGAGGGGAGTTGCCACGCCCTTGCGGCAATAGCGCATGACCGGAAGAGAAGAGAAGTCGTTTCGAGGGGGGAGGGAAGGGTAACGTATTTGATTAAAGATTATAAGGCTACATGAATTTTAAAAGAATAATGAAGTGCACAGATAAATCATTTATAATAAACACTACAATATTACATATAAAAATACGAATTGTAAAATCTTACTTCAAGAGCAGGTGAAGCAAGTTCAACAAACAATGTTGAAGACGTTTGCTTGCACTGAGCAATTAGGTACAACTTGCAAACAGCACCTGTGGTTGTCGGTTTAATTCCCACTGGGGCTACCTGTACATGTAGTAGACCTAGATATAAAGTAAAATTTAACATTGTATACTGCATATATTACAGTCTGAATCCTTAGCCTTTCACATTTTTTATTTATTTATGAGAAGCTTCAGAGAAATGTAATTTGTAACATTTTTTTGGATTTTCAGCTTGGTGTAGGGGATAAAGCATGTTTTAGAGACATGTTCCTGAAGACCATTGTTCAAAGTAAGTTGTATATATTTTTTAGATTTAAGTAGATGTGTATGTCCTATTGTCCTCATGCAATTCAAATTAAATGACAGATCTGTATTTTCTATATTAGCCATCCGGAAGGACCCGGCAACCCAGGATGCACTGATGAGGCGGTCCAGGTTAACGTTACGCGTTACCTGAAAGGAGCATCTGACCGTGAAGGCAGAAAAAGGCGCCGCACAGCTGAGAGGGACCCACAGCCGACCACTTAAAACTATACTGACTACTGACACCCCAGAATCACTGACAACTGGAATCCTTTCTTTATCTTGCAGTCAGTAGAATCAAGACCCCTAAAGAAGTCAGAAGTGTCAAGACTACACTCACTCACTGTGGAAATTACTTTCTTTTTTTCTTTTTCAAATAAAGCTTGTAAATCCTTGTGCCACAGGTCAGCATTGCCGTTATAATGGCCTATTCTACTCCAGAGCTTTACTATAAATTACTACCACTTATCATATTGTTAGAAATGGTTTGTAAATGTAGTTATACTTTTATTTATTTGGTATCTTGCACATTATTTGGTATCAAATATCCTCTTTACTTGTCATAATGTTTACTGATAATTATTTACCCTAGAGCTGTCCTTTTTATATGAACACTTATTGTAAGTGTTGTAATTTGCTTGTAAGGCTGTTTAACCAAAATTGAATTGGAAACCTGCATGTTAGTATATTGATTTATTTATTTTTCTGTTATGTTTCAGTGATCTGAAACATCTTGTTTAAATGACAGTTACTGTACTTTGAAATGTAGAATAAAAATCCCAATTGTAAATTTGTCTGGTTTGAGCAATCATTATTCTTGATAAACTGCATGCTATAAATAAATAAATAAAAATATATAGCCAGAATAAGCGGCGGCAGAGCGCTTGAAAATAGCGTTTGCCTCCGGCGGGCCGCGGAAGGACGGCCTTTAATATAAAGGCGGCGGAACGGCGGTTGGCCCGCGGGCCGGCCGCTTAACGAAGGCGGTAGGAAGGCGGCTGCCGCTTTTAAAAAGCGGCTGCCGCCGGCGGTGCGCCGTCCAACGTGTTTGCGAAGTCGCCATTCTGACGCTTCTACTGCCGCCGGAGAACCGACGGTGGTCCGCCGACTCATTGCTATCTGGGTCTGCACCTAATGTTTGATGCACTAGGCTACTAAAATCTGTTTGGCTTGAATGGTTCTGATTTGATATTTATGCGGAAAGAGGTAACTTTCTTTTAGCGTTGATACTTTTTCGGCCGCATTTTGGTCAGAGGCAAACGATGCTGCGTCATTTTAATTAATATCGATTCTGATTGGTCAGTTTGGTATGAGGGGCATTTTAATGTATGGCTACCGCGTATACAATAAAAGTAAATATATTTACAATATCTGCATCTAAGTTATGCATTTTAGTTGGTAAACTGATGAAAAATTTTAACTTTATCAGTTTATGGTTCTGCAGTTTCTCACACTCTGACAAAAAGCCAATGAACCGCTGAACCGATTCACTAGAATGAATCAGACTATTCAACCCAACACGAGGACCGAATTATCCAATTAGTACTTTAAATTTGACTTTCAAAATGAGAAAAAGTGCCGTAAGGAGGAACGATTTCATAGATTGAATTGGATTTCAAACGCTAGGCTACATGAAAGAGAGGAACAGTAGAATGAATCAAACTTTCAAACTCTACACGAGGTGCGCTGAACTGATTCACTAGAATAAATTGAACTTTCAAACGCTTTATATGATTATTTGAATAGATTCTCTAAAATGAATTTCACATTTACAGTGTGAGCTGGTAGGCTAGTGAGAAAGAACTGTTTAAGTGCATTTGCTATTTCCCTCCACAATAGGCTACTTGGAAAAGGTAGCTTGTATTTGAAAACCAAGCTACTACTTTTAGTTACTCACCAACACTGCAGCTACTATGAATCAGACAAACTGAGTCCTGGAATCACCTACTGGGCCTACATAAATCGCTTAGAAGCCTGAAGTGGACAGTGTGTGGCAGCAAATCCAGTCTGCTAAAATCCTCCTCTCCGCTTCTTATCTCTGTGGGACACAGGATAACAGAGAGCTTCCAACCCCATCCCCGTAATGGATAGATCACCACAGCCTCACAGCTGCAGCTTCTATTTGCTATACAAGCAAAAATCCTTGACCGGCACGCTCAAGATGCCTTACAATAAATGTTGTTTGTCTCCTAATTACAGTTGTCTGGAGGCAATTTGACTGAGATCTTTTATGCACAATCACAACAGCAATCAACCGCTTTGTGTTTTGAATGTCGCACGTTGGTCAAAAGCCCCCCTAAATGCTTCTGAAATGAAAAGAGCGCTCTGATGTATATTTATTAGGACTCTGGGAGGAAAATCACATCTTGACATGTTGCTGAAGTACAGTATGACAGCAGCAAAGGCAGAATTTGCTGAACGGAGCAGTCAGTGAACGTCATGTTGAAAGCTGAGGTGGATTTCCTGTCTCTTGACATCTCCTAAACTTAGCCTTTGCTACACAGTTTCTGAAGATAATCGAAGAGAAATTGTCATCATGAGATACAGTTTCATATCAAAACATCAGGACACAAAGCAGAAAACATTTTGAAACCGGAACAATCGCTGAACGTACTGATAAAGCCACTGGACGCTGCAGTGGTTGGGTTCGGGCAAGATGTCTTTTAAAAGTCTCCTGATACTTATCAAGGAAGATACAATGGGTTGTGGCTACGGCGGCCCTGAGAAGTGTCACTAGTGAAATCGGTCTGTTCTGTTGCTATGGAGTCGCAGGTTGGAAAGCCCATGAGACCATCGCTACCCAAGCAGTGGATGGGAGAAAACCTGAATCTGCGCATAATGTGGCGTGTCTGAATAATGCTGACCTAAAAACTCTTTTAAGAGGCACATAAATTATTGTCAAAACTCCTAGAGGATTTTAAGTTCCCAAGGGATGCTGGAGTCACTTTAGCTTTGAGTTTTACAAACATCATTTTAGGGGGAGTTTTGTTTTCTTTAATAAACATGATGTTTCTAGCTTATAGATAAATAAACAGTCACCCATTTTCCATTTTGTATCACTTGTCTTCTTTAAAAAATATTCGTTTTTATTAGTTATAGACTGATAGATTGGATAGACCAATAAATTGGCCACTATTTGACCATTTTGATATCACTTCGTATACCCTTTCTTAAAATGTGCTTGTCTATGTTAAAGACTATATTTGATAAACTGATAAATCAGCCACTATATTTGGCCATTTTGACTATCAACATCTACCAATAATACTGTTAAAGGATAGTGGATAATTTGTGGAAAAACTTTTTTTGTAGGGAAAATTGATTTCCGTGTATATGTGTACATCTAAATTACTATAACTTTATTGGTTCCCCTGAATAATTGATTCTTGGTCGTTCAGTGGTCATATATTTCTGAATAATAACCGTTGCCCATGGCAACACTCCATAAGTGAGTATCCTAGCTGCATGTGTTCCTTAAGTAATATGATAAAAGAAAAGAAAATCAATATTTAATATCCCAGTATTTAAATGTTAATCTAGCAAGGAGTACTAGTCAGATGGACTTTGTCACAAAATAAACCTCCTCAATATGTTAATTATCCCTACTTGTCACATACATCAGCCACTCTGCTCTCTAGATATCGGTTTAACCCTTTAGAAACCCGTATTGGTTGACCACTAATCTGCATCTCAGCCTGAAGCTTAAAAAGTTTTTTAAATTATTTTTTATTTTTTTACAAAATGATAAGATGGAATCAAATGAGTATTTCTCAACTAATTCTACTGGATACTGTGCACCTCACACATATCAAATTGTGATGAGGTGGTATTTCCTTTCTTCTTGTATGATGTCTCTTTAACTTTGGGCATCGTTTGTGCTTCCCATGTGAACAGACATCATTAAGCCAACGTTAAAATTATCGACCTCACAGAAAAGAAAAAGAAAATCCAAGTTTATTTTTATGTCTAAACATCCTTTCAGATTCTATACATCCCAAGCATTGATTATAAAAGCATATAGAAGCGTTTCCGATCAGTACTGAGAAACAGGAGAAGTTGCCAAGACCTTGTCCGTCAGCAGCCTCACGTCTCCAGCATCACAGCTCGTTAAGTGTGGGCTCTGTACAGCTATACAAACTTCGGAGTTCCCTTTTTTGCCTTTAAAGTAAAAAAACCTATAAGGAAAACTGTATTTTGTAATGAGGAAACTATAGGGACAAAAACGGACGCGTACTGGAGAGAAAACAAAGGTGCGTAGCCTACTTACAGCATCCGGCGCACTTTTTCCTTTCTTTGGCTCTTTATCCTTTGTCCAAAAGGATATAATTCTCCGTAGAATCGCTCGGGTTTGTCGAGTAGTCCAAACAGAGAAGGGAGTGACCCCTTTAGCACTTCTTCAGGGGAAGAGGACTGTGTATTCCGCATGTGTGGACAGTGTTAAATGCGCAGCATCGACCCGAACGCGCAGCACACACACACACACACACACACACACACACACACACACACACGCGCGCGCGCGCGCGCGCGCGCAGGGGAGGCAGGGAATATTTGCGCTGGATCAGGGGCTCTTCTGAGGGGTTCAATAATGCAGGCGGAGCCACAGTCCCCCAACTAACACACCTGCATCTAGGGCCAACACGATTGATTTTTTATTGTTTTTATTAGCATTTACGAGTTGACTTTTTTTTAAATAAATAAATTATAAGTTTGTTTTAAAATTACTATTTCATGTTGGTTCGTGTAAATGTTTCAGGATTGTACTTAAAATAGACCTTAAGTAATTTTGCATATTCCCTCTAGACAGCTGAGTCTAATGAACTTAGACAGACAGACAGACAGTCAGATAGACAGATATATAGTCAGACAGACAGACAGACAGACAGACAGATAGATAGATAGATAGATAGATAGATAGATAGATAGATAGATAGATAGATAGATAGATAGATAGATAGACAGACAGACAGACAGACAGACAGACAGACAGACAGACAGACAGACAGACAGACAGACAGACAGACAGACAGATAGATAGATAGATAGATAGATAGATAGATAGATAGATAGATAGATAGATAGATAGATAGATAGATAGATAGATAGATAGATAATCAATAAGTTGATTGAGAATGTTTGTATGGCTGCTGTTATACAGTGGGTTATTGAGCACCACATCCGAACTGAGCCAAATTCGAGAAGATTGCAATGTATGCACTAACGATGAACGTGCTGCATTGTGTGCGAAATAAAGGAGAAGCAAAATAAGATTTTAATAAGCATGAATAGATTTCATAATGGATCTGAGCCTACTCTCTTTTTCTCTTCCGTCCCCTCCCTTCTCCCCATCTCTCTATTTTCTCTCTCTTTCTCTTGTTGTCTAGATGCATTAATCACTGTAACCTCCTAGATGTCTCCACCTTCATTTGTCTTTGATTTCTCCGTCAGTCAGAAGTGGGGCAGCGTCTGCTGTAATAAGTCTGGCTTCTTAACTCTCTCCTACTGTACACCCTTTACAACCCACATCGTCCAGAACCCTCAAAACTGGGTCTCTGTGATATAATTGGAAGCTGGGGAGTGAAGACATTTACTGATTGCAGACCTGTATGAACTTTTCTTCTGCAGAACACAAAAGAAGATATTTTAAAGAATGTTGTTGGTCCAAGTGTTGTTTTGGACACCATTTTCTTATTTTATGAATATTATTCAAATATTATTTAAAATAAATATTATTTTAGTTGTCCACAGAAAAAGGAAAGTAAAGCAGGTTTGAATGACATGAGAGTGAGTCAATTGTTTTTAGCTGAACTATGCCTTTAAGTAGGCCTACGTAGTACGTACAGTGTTTGAATCTTTTTCTTTTCTCAAAAGCAGATTACAAATGTGCGAATAATATGTAACAGGATGCTTCATAAGGGATTTCAAGGTTATTTATGCAAAGTTCTAAAACAAACTGTATTCATACTGAGTCAATAATAGAAGCAACTGCAATAGTATTCTTTACCTCACATCTTTTTGCCCTAGATTGTTGGGTTTCAGCTGTGAGACGCAGTGTTCTGTTGCTCAGCCGGAGAGTATCAGCTGTGCCTCTGGCCTACATTAAACTGACCTGTTTTCTTATCATCATCATCATCATATATTTAGGGCTATTGATGATCACTGCAAAAACCCTCAAGTCTGCATTATAGGTAGATTAAGCAAGAGTTATGGTTCATACACCTACTGGCGATCAAATGACATTATAATGTGGTTTGATGCAAGTTATTTTGCATAAATTCTTAGGCAAGTTAGTACACTGCTCTCAAGGGTGTTTCATTGGTAATATCACAGCAGCAAGTCTGCCATCCGGTGGCCTCGGTGAAGAACGATCTCAAACCTGAAAGCTGGAGAGCGTACTGTCAGTTTTAGTGTAAGAAAGTGCTTTATATACAAAGAGGAATTTATTGAAAATATGTAAATGTATTTATTGAACAATTTATTGTGGCTGTAGACTTGAATTGTTGTACAGGGGGACTTGAAACAAACGTCTGCAGTACAAACACAAGACGTGACATGGTGCAAAGACTACAAGGAGAGTCCAGGACAGAGGAGAATGAGAAAAGGAGGGATTTAGAAGCACTTCCTGTGGACAATGGAGGGTCCGGCCTCCTCGTACTCGTCTTTGCTGATCCACATCTGCTGGAAGGTGGAGAGGGAAGCCAGGATGGAGCCACCGATCCAGACAGAGTACTTACGCTCAGGAGGGGCAATCATCTGTAGTGGACAAAGGAACATTTAATTGCCATTATAAATAATAATAATCAAAATACAGCTTGAAACACATTTCTCAATACTTAGGTCATTTTTTCAAAACTCTTCACACAGTTCTCCTAACCAACTTTCAACTTGGCACAGCACAAATGATTATTATAAATTACAAAACATATTTTATATTTTAATAATAATAATTATTGTTTACATTATTATTATTAAAATATCAATTATCCATAATTGCAATAATAATGAGTTATTATTAATGATAATGTTATAATATTATCAATCACAATATTATTATTATTCAACCATAGTGCACATTGCATATTGGAAAAAAAAAAATCTGAAAATTAATTATAAAAAAACGGCAAGTAAAACATCGAATTAAACCTGAAATTCTGACAGAATTTCTGTACGTTATTGTCTGCCTGTATTGATGTTATTTTCTTGTATACATATGTATTAAGGATGCACCGATATGAAAATTTTGTCCAATACCAATAACCAATAATTCTTTTGAAAGCCGATAACCGATATATTGGCCAATAAAAAATCCAAATCTTTCTTTGATTTTTGAGAGCCTGATTTCAAAAACAAAAGTCTCACCACTAAAATCCATGTCACAAGCACACAATTGTAATGTTCTCATTATAACTTTATGTAGCTTTTATAACAGACTTGCGCTGCACATGTTGTACTTAACTGTATTTTCCTTTTTTGAAGTGATTCCAGTCATATTTCAAGCAATTCAAAACCATCATGGCGGAAATGATCCATTATTTATCGGCTTTAATATATCGGACAAATTTTCTTATCGGGCAGATAACGATATTGTGGCTGATATATCGTGCATCCCTAATATATATATAAATGTAATATCCATAATAAACATTTTGTTTTGTTTTATTGTAGTCTAATGATTATTATTTACTTTTGTATCTAGAAATTGAACAATAATTAAACATTGGTTCAGCATGTTATTGGACACTTAAACAAAAATAATCTATATCTGTCATGAAAATGAATAAATTCCAAAAACAACTAATAATAAATATGAATAAATATTAGTGATAATAATTATAATTACTAAAATATGAATTTGATCATATTCATTATTGATGTAGTGAAATCATTATTTATTTATTATTTAACAAAGCGCGCGATTAGAATAAACAGAACGATATTGTCCGCTGCTCTGGACGCTAATATAGTTATAGTTATCGTTCTTGAAGGCCAAAATGAACTAGTCCTGAACTGTACCTTGATCTTCATGGTGCTGGGAGCCAAAGCTGTGATCTCTTTCTGCATCCTGTCACCGATACCAGGGTACATGGTGGTACCACCGGACAGTACATTGTTGGCGTACAGATCCTTACGAATGTCAATGTCGCACTTCATAATGCCGTTGTAAGTGGTCTCATGGATACCAGCAGACTCCATACCTACAGACAACGCCATTTAGATGATGAATGGGAATGGATTATACATGAAACATACTTACATTTAAATACATTCCATATGGAGTAGCATGCTAATTCAAGTGCAGATTACATAATAGCGTTGATTTCATTAAGAGAAGAACTGCTGGTGAGCCACTGTCCTTATCGGCTCTATTGGATAAGGAAACAGTGATTGATGTACAATGTCAAGACTAAGAACCCTGTACACCATAAATAGCCCGTCAGCCTCTGGCCATATACTGAAACGCTCCTAATTAGTTCCTGACAAAAGGTGATCCGTCACTGTGTCACCTCTCCTAAAAGTGCACTGTAATGTAAGAGATATCGCTTCAAAATGCAGCTGTTTGAATTTTTCCCTGTGGGAATCTTGACCGCTTTGCTGTGTCTGTGAAAGGTGGGTTTAATTGTGTTTCTGCACATAGACTGATGTGCTGCATGTGCAAATGATTGAGAATTATTAATAATATGAATTTTTCATCAATGGGAATCTAGGCTTGGCAATGGCTCAAAAGGGAGAATATATTTGGAGTGGGCTTAGTGGTTCATTGTAGGCTCCGTTTCAGGATGGCTAGAAACTTGCATGAATAATTGATTAAAAAACAAGGCATAATGTAGGGATATTCAAAGCTTGTCTATCATTAAGGAGAAACCTAGTCTAAAATCCTAAAGGAATGTGAACATGATTCTATGGAAGCCCTTAGAGCCCATGCATTTTTATTTTTTCTGTCTTGTTTTCTCAAGCGCTACATGATTATGCCGATTAAATAGTTTTTGGCTGACCATTTTTTCCTTTCTTAGGAAAAAATTAAGTCGTCCTGATGGGAAAGTAACCATTGGATTACTATATGAACATTATAATTTAGATCAAATCCTATAAACCAAATAAGAATCCTCTAAAAATAAAAGAAAATTTTATTAAAAAATTATTATTTCCTACTGGAAACTGCTGAAAATGCTAGTCTTTATTAAACCATTTTTATTTTAAAATAGTTATATTTTTATTTATTATTAATATTTTATTTAATCTAAACCTAAATAAATCAAATAAACTGTAAACAAGTTGCTGCATTAAATTTGTAATACAATCAACTTGGATGTTTAAGTCATTTCAACTTAAATTACATTAAACTGACTTTAAAAAATGTGTTGAATATATATATATATATGTTTTTAAATTGATTAACTTATTTTGATGAGTTAAAGCAATGTAAAACCATATGTTGTCAACTTA